ACCATGCCCAGCTAACTTTTTGTATTTTTAGTAGAGACGGGATTTCACCATGTTGACCAGGATGGTCTCGATCTCTTGACCTCGTGATCCACCCGCCTCAGCCTCCCAAAGTGCTGGAATTACAGGCTTGAGCCACCACGCCCAGCCCTTCAATATTTTAAAACTCTCCACCTGTTTACACCATAAAAATTTAGGCTAATTGAGCCTAATCTCTTCACTTAAATTCTAATAAAGTGAATTGCCTAGTTGAAGTCATCTACAGCTCATTCACATTCTTCCAAGTATTTATTATTTAAAGATGCAGGCCGAATTGATTATAAATGCCTCATTTCCTTTTTTTTTTGAAAGAGAGTCTTGCTGTTGCCAAGCTGGAGTGCAATGGCACAATCTCAGCTCACTGCAACCTCCACTCCCAGGTTCAAGCAATTCTCCTGCCTCCGCCTCCCGAGTAGCTGAGGTTACAGGCACCTGCCACCAACCTTGGCTAATTTTTGTACAGATGGGGTTTCACCATGTTGGCCAGGCTGGTGGTCTTGAACTCCTGACCTCAGATGATCTGCCCACCTCTGCCTCCGAAAGTGGTGGAATTACAGGCGTGAGCCACTGCACCCAGCCTAAAGGCCTCATTTCTACCTGTCATTTCCCTTAACTGCAAAACAGGATAAAATCTAATGTGTTCAAAAGTAACACAAAAGATTACAAAAAGGATTTAACCATGACCCACAAATCTTTTTTAAAAAAATTCATTCTCATTATCATATATAATATCTACTAAATTTATCAGTACCAAATTTCACATATACATATATCATAAAAAACATAAAAGAATTGCAAAAGCACGAACTAATGTGATACAGAGATGTTTAGCTTTAAGAAAATTAAGCCAGCAAAGAGCTTTTACTTGTGTTCATTTATTGAATGCTGGGAGTACAGATTATTGAGAATACATGACATGCATTTGGGGGAGAAATTAAATCTGAAATGAAGCCATCCAGTAAGTCTGCTGTGAGTTAATAAGGTAGCACAGATTAGATGTAAGGACAGAGTGGTAAAAACTAAAACAGCCACTTACAGTTGTTATTAAGATTCCAGCTGCAAATTCTTTTGGAACTTATTTATTCTTAATTACTTAGGAATTACCAGGAAAGAGGGAAGATCAGTCTGCCTCTTTACCTTAAGCTAAAGCTAACAGGGATACTGTGAATCACTGAAGACCTCTCCCCAGAATTATGCTCTTACTTCAATACCTTTAAGGCCATTCTGGTTTTACAAATTCTTCCCTATCAATTAGTATGTCTCAGACTTATAAGCAGCTATGCAGACTTAGAAAAGATTAATAACTGATGCAAAAGACTGTATTCATTTGATTCCAGTGTCTAACTGCTGAATCATACTGTGGTCTAATATGAGCAAATTTTTATACCATATTGCCAATTTCCCCTCCAAGATTTTTGTTGTAACTCATTGATGCAATAAAATAAATCAAAGAATTCCAGGTACACTTAAAAGGACAGAAAGATTAAGTTACTGGAATATCTTAGACCATGATCTAAAACTGTTGAATTACACAGATATAACTTGAATAAAATGATTAACTTGAATGAAGTGAATAAAATGCCGAAATGTATCCCTAACTACAGTTTCATGCCAGCTATTTCTCCCAAACTTTGTAATGGATATCTTTTCTTAAGATGACAACCCTAATATCACTCGATGTTCAGGTGATTTGGGGTACTTTTATGGTAGCAGAAAGAAAAAAAGAAAGAGAAAACACCAATGGAATGAAAAAAGGAAGATTTTGGCTTTTTGTTTTCTTTTTTAAAGAGGCAGCCTGTTTTTTTTTCATAATCATTCCTCCGCACTTCTGGAGACATGGGTTATGGCTTGCAGCGCTGGACAAATCGAGGGTACAAGCACACGTCTCGGATGTGATACCTATTCAGAATCCATGTTAAGAATCGTTCCAGGCCCAAGCCATAGCCTCCATGTGGACATGTGCCATATTTTCTCTGTTTAAAAAAAAAAAGAAAGAGGAGTAAACACTTAGTTAAAAATTTCATCTAAAGTAGTTAAAATTTTCCACTGTGAAAGGAGTTAGTTCCCTGTGGTTAAGAATTCAACTATGGCCAGATTTGGTGCCTCATGCCTGTAATCCCAGCACTTAATCTCTATGCCTTCATGAACCATGTATAAAGAAATAATTTGGTATGAAAAATCAACCGGGGATGAAGTACCACCCTGGAAAGAGATTTTTAAAAACTTTGAAACTAAATCAATGTCTCTTTATAAGAGGATAATGAAGAAGAGTACTAGATACTGGTAGGATCAATTTTTTAAAACTCAGTTGCAATCAACAAGCCAGCTGTTAAACAGGCTTTCAAATGAAATTAACATAACTTGGTCAAGACAAAGCTGACAATATTCACACACATTAGTATAACAGGGAAACTGAATACAGCTCATTCAAATAGCAAAGTACACCCTGAATTCTCCCCTTTTAAAAATTTCAATATATACAGAACGATTACAGTGAAAAAATTTTAAGAGTGCTTAAAAAATTGGTTTTACCTGATCTGTATACCAGTAATAGGGAGTGGGGTCGATCCCTTCCCTTTTATAACCTGCCAGTATTTCTTCACTATCCCAGATACGCATTGAGCCTCCCACAATCTCACCAACGTTGGGCATCAACACGTCGACCTTTAAATATAAGCAAAAGAAGATACACAATTACTATCAAGCGATCAGACACAGCACTGCTCTAGAGTTTCAATGAATATTACAATTAAGCTCTGAGGGCTAAAGGAGGCACTATTATTATGTAATATTCAAATATTTACATTTCTCTAATTTAACAAAGCGTGTCAACCCCAATCAGGAGAGGGGGAACAAGCCAACGTCTTTAAATATTGTCATTTAGATAATGAAATATGTGCCATGAGCTGTATCTGATTCCAGATGACAGTTCCCACCCCCTTGAAAAGCAAAATTATTAATACACTTTGAAACAGAAACTGACAGACTCAGTAAGACGGGGATCCTCAGGACATCGTTGCATGTAGAAGGACTTGATTTCCACAGGAAATCGACACAGCAAGATTGGTTCATTAATGGTGTCTGTCATCAGTCTCTCAGGAGCTTCTGGGATATCCTGAGGTTAAACAAGATTTCATTAACATTTACAACTTGAATCACAACAAGATAGAAGCAGCTCCTTCATCCTGCACCAGTCCTTCCTCCTATCAGTTCAACAGAGTAGAGGATACACACCTACCTTTAACTCACACACATTTGTGTAAAGAATAATTTCTTTCAAAAAGAAATAAACATATTCTTAAAACTCAGTTATTTAATGAACTGTAAAAGATCTGCCTCCCTTTACAGCATACCTCAAGCACCATGCTGTTTGATGAAGGAAAATCAAAAAAACAAAAACAAAAGCCAACCCCAAGTTGTGACTAGACACAGCTCAGTATTTTTCTCAGTGGCCTGTTTTGTCTAGCTCTGAGGCGAATGAGGTCCACTTAGTCCCATAAGGCATAAGGTAATCATGAATGCTCCAGAACATCATTGATCTACAAACAGAGTATATTACTAATGACACTAATCTTCAAACTCTCCTCTTATCTGCCCTTCTTTCCTGTTGTAATCAATCACTTATGCCTCTGATGACAGAAAGACAGAATCCTAAGACAAATAACCAATGTCAAACTGCTAAGTGTAACCATACCTGGAGCTCTCTCTCAAAACATCCTTCTGTACCACATATAAATTAAAGTTAACATATAAGCTCAAATGGAAAACTCTTGTCCCATTAAAAACGGATTGAGAACTGGAGAAGACTCATAGATTTGTTTAATGGAAGAAGTGAAATGGAGGAAACAATCACCCAGCACACCTGTTTTCAAGCTCCCAGTCCTGGAGCCCTTGCTTCCAGGAGATGAGAGGGGGAGCTCTAGTTTCTCAGCTTGCATCTGCTTTACACAGCGGGGGTCTGCATAAGATTTAGTCAGGGGAAAACCTGTCTAAGGCCTGAGGACCACGTATCTACTCTAGTGTCCTCATGTGTATGGAATGATAGCAATGTATAGTAAATGCTGACAGGCTCCCCGTGCCATGGTCCTGGCTAAGCATTTAGCTCCTGTTGTCACCACAATCTTGCAAAACAGATGTTACTTCCAAGGTAGAAATAAGGAACCTGAGACGGGGGCCACTGGCCTTCAGTTACATAGCACAAAAGAAAAGAGCTGGGAGCTAAGCCCACCTGCGGGAAACTTCTGACTCCACAGCTTGTGTAATCCACTCAACCACACGATTTTACCAACAGGTACACAAAGTACTCAAGTTCTCAATACAAAATTTTGTTATTACACATCATAGGCTGAATCCACAGGCTGGGCACAGTGTGGCTCACACCTATAATCTCAACACTTTGGGAGGCAGAGGTGAGATGATTGCTTGAGGTCAGGAGCTGGACCAGCCCAGTCAACCCAGCAATACTCTCCATCTTGTTAAAAGCAAACAACGGAATTCACAAAAGCAATAAGAGTGCTTTATATAGACCTAGTATATTGTTTTCTCCTCTCTATTAATTCTGTCTAAACCCCAAAACTAGTTAGCAGTAGCTACTCACATTTTAACTGTAAAACAATTTAGATGTGCAAATATTATGTAAGTAATGGTTAAATGCACAGGGAAGATGGCCTACCACAGTGTTGAAAACGTGAGCCTGATGCAGTGGCTCATGCCTGTAATCCCAACACTTTGAGGGGCCGGGGTGGGAGGACTGCTTGAGCCAAGGAGTTTGAGACCAGCCTTGGCAACATAGGGAGATGCCATCTCTACAAATAATAAAAAATTAGCTGGGCATGGTGGCTCACACCTATAATCCCAGGACTTTTGGAGGCTGAGGGAGGATGATCACTTGAACTCTGGAGTTCAAGGCTGTAGTGAGCTGTGATCACACCACTGCACTCCAGCCTGGATGACAGATGAAGACACTGTTCCAAAGAAAGAAAATTTGCAACCCAAGTGCATGCTGGGAGAGTGGTTCTCAGGCAAAACCGAAATGCCGTTTATCTGGGGCACTTACTCGGCTTCCTTCTCCACAAAGACCTTCTCTCTTGATTTTGCATTTTAACCAATGGCTATCTTCTTTCTCACCTTCCACATTAAGGAGTTTTAAATCACTGTTTTGGGGGAGGGGATGAACCTCTTTTTAAAAGCTAAAGATATTCTCTCCAGAAAACCAAAACAAATGTATCTATATACCAACACTGCATGTGATTTCAAAAGCTTCGCAATCTTTTAAAGCACTCCTGCCAGTCTAGAGAATAAGGAGAACTTATAAGCTGTGGCCAAGGAAGAACAATGAAGGAAGGGGGAAGAGGCAAAGCCTGAGACCTGAAGGCAGCTTAGAAACTCACTCATACTTACTGGACGCTACAGAACAGGCACTGTCCTGAGACTCTACATCTGTTAGCTCAGTGGATCTGCAGGCAACCCCATGAAGCAGGTTCTGCTGTTACCATTTATTTGAGGACAGGCAGACGCCACCCACATTACTAGTTCATTAACCAGAAGAAGAGAACCACTGAAGCCCAATCCCAGTGGAAACAATGAGAGAAAGGAATACATACTTCTCCAAATTCATAGAAAGTTCCATCTTCTTTCTTTATATCGTGTTCTTTTAGCCACACGATAGCATCTGAGTAGTTCATCCGTTTGAAAGGCCGTGTGGGGGGCTTAAAGTTCTATAGCAGAAAGGAAAACTACAATGTATGCATATATATATGCACATTAACACTACAATTTCCATTTTAAAAAACTATTCACCATTATTATAAAATATCACTTCAGTCGAGTGTGGTGGCTCATGCCTGTAATCCCAGCACTTTGGGAGGCTGAGATAGGCAGATCACTTGAGGTCAGGAGTTTGAGATCAGCCTGGACAACATGGTGAAACCCCATCTCTACTAAACACAAAAATTAGTCGTGGGTGGTGGCAACCGCCTGTAATTCCAGCTACTCGGGAGGGTGAGGCAGGAGATTGCTTGAACCTGGGAGGTGGAGGTTGCAGTGAGCTGAGATCACGCCACTGCACTGCAGCCTAGGCAACGAAGCAAGACTCCATCAAAAAAAAAGGAAAAAATATATCTATATAACTTCAGACTAGAAAACTATGTACATATTCCTAAAGCAGAAAGCATATGAGCCTCTTCTTATATAAGTTAAAACATCATAAAATTATTGAAAATAACTAAAAACATTATAAAATTATTGACAATAACTAATATCAATGTCTAGTCTTCAAAATAATTAGTCACTTATTTCAGCTCACCAAGCCATCAAATCTACAAAAACTGATGGTGAAGACTTCATTGTCTTCCAAAAAAGGACTGTGACTTTTTCTTTCCATAAACCCTGTACCTACCGGGTTGAGTTCATGCACTATGCTGGCCACAGGTGACTTCAATACTCGGTCTACCACATCACAGACCAAGTCCTCCAGTCGGTTCAGGAGGTCCTCAAAGCTCAGGAAAGGACACTCGGCTTCCACGTGAGTGTACCTGAAGAATGAGAAACTAGCTCAGTGCTGCTTTGCTCCTGCACTGTTTTCTCTCCAGCAAGGCTTTTAACATTGGTAAACCATCAATAAAATTCCGACCATGCTATGAATTCCCAACTTTGCAAATTAGTTGTGGACACCTCTCTTCTCTACGGAGTAGCAATTTCTTGTTTACTCCTTTAAATGTAAAAGACCGAGTCAAAGTGGAAAAGAGACCTTAGCTTCGATCTAAGGCGGCAAGACTTGGTACGATGTTCTTCTGTTAGCCTCTTAATATATCAGTTTTTTTTTTTTAAGCATAGACATCATTTACCTACACTAAGATTTCTTCTCTACAAATATTACCTAAAAAGAAATAAACAAAAAGACAATTTCATACTCAGCCAGGTGCCTTCGTGTTCTGGACTGTTCTGCCCGGTATGACTGCGCGATGCAAAAAACATCTCCCAGGGCTGGGATGCAAGTCTCCAGGTATAACTGAGAGGACTGAGTCAAAAATGCCTCTTCCCCAAAGTAGTCAAGCTTGAAGAGTGTGGAGCCACCTTCTACTTGTGTTTGCACTAATGTTGGAGGGGCAACCTGTTCAAATGCAAAGAAAGAGTCAATCAATACCTATCATGAGCACCGCCATTCAAGTTTCAAAACGGCAAAAATGTACTGTTTGCAAAAGCTGACAAATGCATACTTACTTCACAGTACCCCCTATCAAAGAAGTGATCTCTAAAGCACCTGGTGATCATGGACCGTGCTCTGAAGATTTTGGACATGTTTTCCCCTCGGATCATCATGTGTCTGTTGTTGAGTTGGACGTCAACGTCAGACTCCTCATTGATCAAGTTGTCAGCTCCTCCAGCAGGGGCCAAGCCAATGAGTTCCCAGAAGTCACAACTCAGCTCATGGCCACCTGGAGCCTGCATTTTTTAAAAGTGGTGTCCAGAGAAAGAGAGAAGGAAAAGGAAATAAAAAATTAACAGTATTGAGAGGATTTTAATTTATGTCAAAAGTTTTGGTAAGCTGAGATTTTTAAGAACCTCATAATTCTCAGCCTTACCCTTCTAAAAATAGACCTAATAGTCTAGTTTTATATTGATATTTTTATGAATATTCTCTGTGGATAAATACACATTCAAATACACAGAACTATCTCTTTTTTTTTTTGAGATGGAGTCTCGCTCTGCTGCCCAGGCTGGAGTACACTGGCACAATCTTGGCCAACCTCCACCTCCTGAGTTGAAGTGATTCTCCTGCCTCAGCCTCCCGTATAGCTGGGAGTTGACAAAGCTGATCTTGAACTCCTGACCTCAGGTGATGCCTCAACCTCTGAAAGTGCTGAGATTACAGGTGTGAGCCACCACACTCTGCCACAAGTATCTTTTTTTGAGATGGAGTTTCACTCTTGTTGTCCAGACTAGAGTGCAAGGGCGCAATCTCGTCTCACTGCAACCTCCACCTCCCAGGTTCAAGCAATTCTCCTGCCTCAACCTCCCAAGTAGCTGGGATTACAGGAATGCACCACCATGCCAGGTCAGTTTGGTATTTTTAGTAGAGATGGGTTTCTCCATGTTGGTCACGTTGGTCTCAAACTCCAACCTCAGGTGATCTGCCTGCCTCGGCCTCCCAAAGTGCTGGGATTATAGGCATGAACCAATGCGCCAAGACACAAATATCTTTTGAAAATAGAAATGCACAGGCCGGACACGGTGACTCATGCCTGTAATTCCAGCACTTTGGGAGGCTGAGGGGGGCAGATAATTTAAGGTCAGTTTGAGACCAGCCTGGTCAACATGGTGAAACTCCTTCTCTACTAAAAATATAAAAATTAGCCAGGCGTGGTAGCAGGCACCTGTAATCCCAGCTACTCGGGAGGCTGAGGCATGAGAGTCACTTTTACCCAGGAAGAGACTGCAGTAAGCTGAAACTGCGCCACTGCACTCCAGCCTAAGCAAGGAAAGTGAGACTTAGCCTAAAAAAAAAAAAAGAAAACAAAAGAAAAGGCAGGGTGTGGTGGCTCACGCCTGTAATCCCAAAACTTTGGGAGGCCAAGGCAGGCAGATCACAAGGTCAGGAGTTCAAGACCAGCCTGGCCAACGTGGTAAAACCCCATCTCTACTAAAGAGACAAAAAATTAGCCAGGCGTGGTAGCTCATGCCTGTAATCCCAGCTACTCAGGAGGCTGAGGCAGGAGAATCACTTGAACTGGGAAGGAAGAGGTTGTAGTGAGCCAAGATCGCGCCATTGCACTCCAGCTTCTGAGAAAACTCTTGTCTGAACAAAACAAAACAAAACAAAACGAGGCTCTAAAATTCTATTAAGAAAGTTTCAATTTTAGACTACAGTTCTCCGAAAATTTTTAGGTGGGTTGTTAAGTTTTTGTTTCCATCTGGCTACAAAGTAATTCAAATATCTATAGCACAGTGGCTGTATTATATCCCATAAGGATGATTCAGGAATTCTGTAAGGCTGGAAATCGTTATATTCATTTTATCACATGAGCTGTATAGTGTAGATATTTCACTGGAAAAGGGACACTGAATTTGGCATGTACTTCACATTTATTGCATGTACATGCTGGGATGGTTAATATGAAGTGAGGACTTGATTGGAATGAAGGATACAAAGTATTTTCTGGGTGTATCTGGGTGTTGCCAGAGGAGATTAACATAATCTCCCAGTCAGTGGTCTGGGAGAGGCAGACCCACCCACAGGGTGGGTGGGTATCACCTACTCGGCTGCCAGCATGGCTAGAAAAAGTCGGAGGAAGAAGGTGGACGGGCAGACTTGCTGAGTCTTCCAGCCTTCATCTTCCTCCCATGCAGGATGCTTCCTGTTATGGAACATCAGACTCCAAGTTCTTCAGCCTTTGGACTCTTGGACTTACGCCAGTGCTTTGCCAGGGGCTGTTGAGCCTTGGTCACAGACTGAAGGCTGCCCTGTCGGCTTCCCTACTTTTGAGGCTTTTGAACTTGGACCCAGCCTCTACTGGCTTCCTTGCCCCACAGCTTACAGACGGCCTATCGTGGGACTTCATCTTGTAATCATGTGAGTCAATTCTCCTTAATAAACTCCCTTTCATATACACATATATCCTATTAGCTCTGTCCCTCTGAAGAACCCTAATACATATGCCAAACACCAAAGATCCAAAGACACTGGAAAACAAACCAATAAACAAACTACGCATTCACCCAGTGTGAAACTCAATCCACTCACCTGCTTGCCCTTTGGGGTAAGGTTTAGCATTCCATACACTGCAACGCTACTCTCCGTGGACAAGAGTACTCCATTGTAGCACAGACACTATAAAAACGTCAAAGTTCAAATTTAGTTATTCACATTGATTTAAAAATTCTACCATACAGAAAGTTAAAGGGATTATTTGCAAACAAGTTAACTGGTCAAATACTAGTAAAATAAAGAAATGGCCACTGATTCTCAATAAGAATAGCTACTTTTGTGGAAGACAGAGATTTATCTATATATACACATATAAATGTAAATACACACTTTCCATATATACATATGTATAAATGACACTGACCCACATCACTTAAAATGTCTGGACAGTTTATTTATTTTAAATCCAGACTATTAAAATAACATACAGGTTGGGCACAGTGGCTCACACCTATAATCCCAACACTTTTGGAAGCTAAGGTGGGAGGCTCACTTAAGCCCTGGAATTCAAGACCAGCCTGGACAACATGGGGAGAGCTAAATAAAAATTAGCTGGGTGTGGTGGTTCTCACCTACAGTCTTACTTGGGAGGCTGAGGTGGGAGAACTGTTTGGGTCTGGGAAGTCAAGGCTACAATGAGCTATGATGATGCCACTGCACTCTTTCTGAGAAATCCTGTCTCTCAAGAAAACAAACAAACAAAACCATACAGAGCCCATCTACTATAATCACTTCTTACTAAAGTCATTAGGAAAAAACTGATGGGGAACTTTAAAAGGAAGGAGTCAGGCTGCCAACACCTGAACCCACTACTCATAAAAAAGACAACCAGCTGGACTTGGTGGCTCACACCTGTAATCCCAGCACTTTGGGAGATGAGGCAGGTGGATCACCTGAGGTCAGGAGTTCGAGACCAGTCTGGTCAACATGGCAAAACCCCATCTATACTAAAAGTACAAAAATTAGCTGGGCATGGTAGCAGGCACCTGTACTCCCAGCTACTCAGGAGGCTGAGGCAGGAGAATAGCTTCAATCTGGGAGGCGGAGGTTGCAGTGAGCAGAGATTGCGCCACTGCACACTCCAGCCTGGGTGACAGAGTGAGACTCCAAAAAATAATAATTAAAAAAAAAAAAAGACAAGCCTCTGGATGTGATGCAACTAAAAGAACACAGCTTCGCCCATGAAGCAGTTGTGTCAAAAACCTGAACCCAATCAGGCCTAACCTCCAATTTATAAACAATACAGAGACTAGAACAACAAGCTAAAGGACACCACAAGGATGCAAATAACCAAATCCAGAATGTGAGCAGTTCCACAGGACAACCCACTAGGGTTTTCCCAACAAATACACAGTAATGGGGGAGGGGGGCCGAGCAAAAGAAAAGAGAATGCAAAGGGAGCAGTTATAGATTAAAGAAAATTTCAAAGTCATATCACTAAATGCAGCATGTCAATCTTGTCAAGATCCTCATTCAAATCAATCAACTATAAAAAGGCCTTATAAACTGATAACAAGAATCTGGATATTAGATCATATTTAGTAGCTGTATGAATTTGGTGGAGGGTGTGTTAATAGTGACTACAGTATTTTTCTTTCTTTTTTTTTGAGACAGTTTTCCTCTGCTGCCCAGGCTGGAGGATGGTGGTGTCATCTTGGCTCACTACGACCTCTGCCTCCCGAGTAGCTAAGAGTACAGTTATGCACCACCACGCCTGGCTAAGTTTTGTATTTTTTGTAGAGCCAGGATTTTACCATGTTGTCCAGGCTGGTCTCAAGCTCCTGGGCTCAAGCAATCTACCCACTTCAGCCTCCCAAAGTGTTGAGACTACAGGCATGAGCCACCATGCCTAGCCATATTATTTTTCTTAGTGATGCATAAGCATGGTATTTCAATAAAATGATATAATGTCTGAGGGGCAATATCATACCAGGATTGGCCATATTGGTAGTTACAGAGGTTGGGTGATGGGCACTTGAGGATTTTTTATATGGTTCTGTTTTTTAATGTGCTAGAAATTTTCCACAACAAAAGTTTTCTCCCTCTAGTCTTGCTAAGGTATAATAAACAAATAAAAATTGCACGTTTATGATACAAAGTGATGTTTTGATGTATTCATTGTCAACATAATAAAAGTTTTAAATAAACGTATACAGATTCTAGAATTCACAGAACAATAAAGGAATCTACTAAAAACATCTGATTTTCAGGCATAAATAAAGGAAAATATTTACCAACTCATCCGCCAAGACACACTGAAGAAAACCTGTTCCATCTCGCAATACCAAAAACATTAAATTCTTTCCTAAAAAGGAGAAATAATAATTTAGGCAGACTGTTCTCAAATTATGAAAACCAGGTTAGTTTTTCAAAAAATTTTTTTTTAAGATAGGGTCTCACTTCGTCACCCAGGATAGACTGCAACAGCACAATCACAGCTCACTGAAGCCTCCACCTCCTGGGCTCAAGCAAACCTCCCACCTTACCCTCCCAGGTAGCTGGGGCTACAGGCACGTGCCATCACACCTGGCTATTTTGTAGGGACTGGGGTCTCACTGTGTTGCCCAGGCTGGTCTCAAGCTCCTGGGCACAAGCAATCCTCCTACCTCAGCCTCCCAAACTGTTGAGATTATAGGTGTGAGCCACTGCACCCAGCATGATTTAATCTTATCTAAAGAAAACTCAGAGGTTAAACATTGGAAGTTCACACCTCCCACATGGCTCCCTTCCCTGGAAGTACCCACTGGTAATACCATTACTAAGTATTTGTAAAATACTGTATTTTCATTGTATTGGACTTTCAAATCATACATGATCCCCAAGATCCACACAACCAGGGGAAAGCAAGACAGAAGGCAACAGGAGTTAAGGGATTGCGGCTTATCCACCCCTGAATCCCCTGCAATGTGTGGCACAGTACTGTGCACTCAGTGGGTGATGCATAAATGTTCTTGAACAAAATCACTTTTCCTTATTTATGTCCCAAAGGTCCTTCACTGAGATCTACTTAAAACATTTCATTTGTATTTTTTGCCCCCGCTCCCCTTTTTTTTGAGATGGAGGTTCACTTTTGTCACCCAGGCTGGAGTACAATGGCACAGCCTTGGCTCACTGCAACCTCCGCCTCCTGGGTTCAAGCAATTCTCCAGCCCCAGCCTCCCAAGTACCTGGGATTACAGGCACGAGCCATCATGTCCAGCTAATTTTTTTTTTTTTTTCCTGAGATGGAGTCTCCTCTGTTGCCCAGGCTGTAGTACAGTGGCATGATCTCGGCTCACTGCAACCTCCGCCACCTGGGTTGACATGATTCTCCTACTTCAGTCTCCTGAGTAGCTGGGACTACAGGTGCCTGCCACCATGCCTGGCTAATTTTTGTACTTTATTAGTAAAGATAAGGTTTCATCATAATGGCCAGGCTGGTCTCGAACTCCTGACCTTGTCATCCACCCACCTCGGCCTCCCAAAGTGCTGGGATTACAGGCGTGAGCGACCACACCTGGCTAGTCCTACTTTTTAATAAAAGATTTGCTACTTCCTTATAATAAATAGTAAAAGCAATGTTTAATATTTAAAAATATATAATAATAATAAAAGAGGAAAGAGAAAACAAAATGTCAGAACCAAGGAAAATGCAAATATACTGATTATAAGAGTCAAAACTATGGCCAAGTTTCAGACTCAGATGTAAATTTCCTATAGTAACATCCCTTGGTTTTCACTAAATAAAACTCAGCTAGACACGGTGGCTCACACCTGTAATCCCAGCACTTTGGGAGGAGGCTGAGGCGGGCAGATCATGAAGTCAGGAGTTCAAGACCAGCCTGGCCAATATGGCAAAACCCCATCTCTACTAAA